ACAGTTTTATAAAATAAACTTCTAACGTGAAACTTTTCTTATGCTTATACTAGTATTGACAAGACTATGTCTTGTTTATAAAATCATACTGCCGTTTTATGTTACCAGCATAGAGGTATGAAGGAGTACATTTCGAGAGTTGATACAATATTTGGCACAGAGTATTAGGTGCCCAAATCATTTGCGCATAAAAAATCCAGACTCGTAGGTAGTCAGGGGACCAAGAATCGAGTCAAAATAAAATCCAAAATGGTGACTCTTCTACAAACTGGCAAAACAGGCACTTCACCCCACCGAAGCCACGTAGGGGGGAGTACCACCCACAGTCATTCTAAGAAGTGAACTCTGACCTTAGGACTAAACACGTAGTTTCTTCTATGTTAAATAAAATTTGTAATCTAATTTTGTAAATTTGGGAGTGCTTCAAATATGACATTAAAACAGGGTTTTATGTCATTACAAGTAGGTTTTTTAACATTATCTAGTATAGTAAAATCCTGGGACCAATAAAAATTTGACATTATATCAGGGTTGTGTTACATTCGATGACGTTATAATTGGGTTAAGCTGTATATTGTTTGTACAAAATAACAAAATAATTTCGGACGATACAATAGCCACGATTATTTTTTCAAAAACAGAAAATTTTCGTTACGCATCGACAAAAATTCAACCCGAGACGATACGCAACAGAGAGAAATTCCAAAATTGGATAGGTTAATTTCATCGAAAATGCATCGCGGACAATCTCGTGGTGGTGGCCGGTGAAGTTTGAACAATCGCGCCCAAAAGCAGCGATACCAAAGAAGATTGGAGAATGAGAACGAGACTCGCCTTGAACGTCAAAGTGATTCCGCTTAGTAGTGAGTCTCCGAGACATAGTCTTGTCCAGTGGCGTGCCGTCATTGGAAGCGGTGGATGCGCCGCTTCCCTTGTATTTTCTAAAAAATAAATACATATTAATTTTAATTATATGAAAATAATTGCACAATATTTTATTATAAACACATTATGTATCTTATTACAAATTTTTATACTACACGTGAAAAAAAANCAATTTCACGTTTGTCAAAATAGTGTAGATTCAATGTTTGTGCTGTCTTTCTTTAAGGAACTTGGAGTTAGATTCGAACTTTTTTCAACGAGTGAACAATACCATTAAATTAAAATAATTTTTAATTTCAATAAATAAAAATTTAAACAATAAATTAAATGTAATAAATTTTTATCTGTTTTGTAGAAAGAGAAGGAGAAAAAAAGCAAGAACAGTTAAATAGAAAAGCTGCTTTGAAAGCACCTATGAGGAAAAATGAGTTCATTAAAAAGTAGTAAGCCATTATCACAAAGTGATAGTGGCTAGCAAGGATGATCTAACATATGTTATTTATGATGAAGATTCTGAAACTGAATATTGCCAATAACAAATAAATGATTTTAAAAAAAACTGTTCTTCAAGCTGAATTGTTATGTTTAAATTTGGCTATTAAATGGTTTCAAACATGTGGCTAACTATTCTCAAAATTCCTGACTTGTTCAGACTCTCTCATCTATTCATTTATTAGAGAAAATATCATGTTCAGAAAAGCTAATAATTGAAACCGTNGCAAGATATTTGGCCGCCCTCGCCCGATTACGTGAATCGCAAGTAAATTTATAACTTAACCCAACCGATAAGAATTTACTGGTATGTTTTTAGCAGGGCTGTGGAGTTGCGTAAAAATCTACCGACTCCAACTCCGACTCTGACTCTCACTTTTCCTTACCATCCGACTCCGACTCGGACTAGAACACCAAAACTCCACGACTCCGACTCCGACTCCACAGCCCTGGTTTTTATGATAGTTTTGTATAGTTGACAGAAGTTTAAAAAATCCATTAAAATTTATACTAATATTATAAAGAGGTAATGTTTGTATTATGTAAGTTTGTATGCAGCAGGTAATCTCCGAAACTACTCATCCGATTTCAAAAATTCTTTCACCAATATTTAGAATGAAACTTCAGGGTGGACATAGGCTGTATATTATTCCGTTNTAAGTAAAATTTTTATTTTTTAGAATATTAATATACTGAATAAGTAAATTTGAATAAATTAGTTTATTTTTAGATTATTCAATGTTTTATTTAATATTATCAGCACAAAACCTTTCTCACTAATTTCTAGCCGTATTAACAGGAGTACAAACGTTTTCGGCTAGAAATTAGCGAGAAAGGTTTTGTGCTGATAATCTTAGAATTTGTTCTAGCTACATATGCATAGTAGTTTTATTTAATATTAAACAAATAACGCTCAAGCAAATGCGAACCCAGGGAGTGGCGAATGGTACTATAAGTTTATTACAGAATCTTCCACAGACACTTGACATATATTTCAGAATTCAACCACCCCCGTGACCCACATTTGAGTTGTCCAGATCTGGGCACGGGAGTCACGTGCCGCCCTGGTGGCAATATCCGCTGTCAACCCTTTTTCAAAAGTTTCCCTTTTCCTTAGAAAACTCACATTCTTTTCCAAGAACTACATGCTTTGAACAATTTTTCTGTTCGTTAATTAACCGATCACCCATTGTACTTAAATTAATAAAAAAAAATTGTGATAATTTTTATAACAGCTATTATTTATCTATTTATTTAAAATAAAAATATTAAATATATANTTTTTATAACATGGGCCAGAATAAATTTTACGTTTTTTCCGCGGGCCATAGTAGTTAATTGACACCTTGTGACCTGTAAATTTTTAGTCTGCAAATATGAAATAAATAAATAAATAAATAAAAAGAAATTAATTACTACAGTCGACCTCCCTATAACACTGTTGATTATTCCGTTTTATATGAATTCCATGTTGTATGAGTCACTTAGATTTTACAAATGCGTGTGCCAGGCTGTGAACGACTCACCTATTTGTAAAATCTAAGTGACTTTAAACATAATAAAAACAGCCCTATGTAGTTGGATACAACAGACATTACATTTTCTAATTGCATAGCTTTTGCACATAGATTTTCTTGGTGGATGATGCGATAAGATATAAATAATTTAGAAAAATTCTGTTCTCCCATTTTTTGTTTGAATAAGGAAATGACTCCCTTATTTTTTCCTGTCATTGCTGCCGCAACACTTCAGAAAATAATATTCAATTTAAACTAGACGAATTACATCGAAAAATATTTATTTATAATTTCTTCTAAACATCTCGCGGGCCGGATAGAAACTTTTCGCGGGCCGTAGCTGGCCCGCGGGCCGGGGGTTGNCTACAAACAAAATATACAATTACTAATAATAAAATAATTGTTTCTGTTAATATTATGTATTTATATAAACATACATAAATCACATATTATGACTAAAATTTATGTTTAACAAAAACATTTAACAAAGTTTTAAACAGATAAATATTTTTATTTTAGGGTTTAATGCTAACACTTCAGAATCTACCAATGTTACACTGGGGTAACGAAGAAATGAGTCTTCTTGTGGCAGAAGCTTATAGACTTAAATTTATGTTTGCAGATGCACCCAATCATCTACAGTTTTCAAAGAAATGAACTGGTTGATCAAACTGAAAACACTATTGTTTTAAATATTTAACTAAAAGTTCTGAAATAACATTTAAGCTTATCATTTCTAAATTATTTAAAAATCTATAACAAGAAAAATGTATGTTGGAAAAATTGTTTATAATACACAAAAGAATATGTATAAAATGTCATAAGATAATTTATAGTTTTTCTACGATGTATATTTTAATAAAGGTTAATTTTCTTAATGTGTCAAGATTTTCAAAATATTCAATCACAGATGGATCTACACCGTAAAAATGAATGCTATGTAAAGAAATAATATCACCACCGTGGTTATTGAATGTAGGAATCATAAGAAAGGTGTATTGTGATTTACAGATTAACCCCGAATATTATAAATATGTGTCACGTTATAATTTGCAATCTTTGCAATCTTGTGACACAATCACCTTACAATTTTGATGATTTAATGCTCCTCTGCCATATATAAAAGATATCATGTATGTAAATCTTCAAATCAGAATAATTCTGAAACAGCTAGTCTATATATTGCAAGCTGCAAAGGAAATAGTATGATGACATCTGTCTATGATGTCTAAGTTCAACGTAAAATGTGGTAGTTTTACTTTGAAAACCTTGTAATACAGTATTTATTTCTTTTACTTAAATTATAATACCACTTTCTCGGTCATCATCATCTTACTTGAAGCCATTGATTGATTAAATCTAATTTGGAATAAAAGTTACAATTGAGAATACAAGTAAAAATGCAAAAATTAAAAAAAATAAAAATATGATAGTGTACTAATAAAAAATTAAGACTAGAATATTAATTAAATACAATCATTGTGAAAATCTTAATAGATTTGATTAAAATTTATAGCTTATAGAAAAAAGTTAAGTAAAATTTTTATTTTTTAGAATATTAATATACTGAATAAGTAAATTTGAATAAATTAGTTTATTTTTATATTATTCAATGTTTTGTTTAATATTATCAGCACAAAACCTTTCTCACTAATTTCTAGCCGTATTAACAGGAGTACAAACGTTTTCGGCTAGAAATTAACGAGAAAGGTTTTGTGCTGATAATCTTAGAATTTGTTCTAGCTACATATGAATAGTAGTTTTATTTAATATTAAACAAATAACGCTCAAGCAAATGCGAACCCAGGGAGTGGCGAATGGTACTATAAGTTTATTACAGAACCTTCCACAGACACGACCTATATTTCAGAATTCAACCACCCCCCCGTGACCCACATTTGAGTTATCCAGCTCTGGGCACGGGAGTCGCGCGCCGCCCTGGTGGCAATATCCGCTGTCAACTCTTTTTCAAAAGTTTCCCTTTTCCTTAGAAAACTCACATTCTTTTCCAAGAACTACATGCTTTGAACACTTTTTCTGTTCGTTAATTAACCGATCACCCACTGTACTTAAATTAATAAAAAAAAATTCNAGTGTTCTCCTCTGTTAATCTTCTCAGGGACGGGTTAGTGCTGAGACCGGACCGACCGTGCAGTTGAGCCGACTCCGAAAGCTGACTGAGGTCTCTCCCAAGAGTATTAGTTTCCAGACGCCAATCTGGCACGTGAATTCACCACGCATGATCTTCCTGTACATATGCTACGTTTATGACTTGTACAACTGTAAATAAACTATATATATATTCAATTTGAGTGTGGAGGTGTACTTTCCGACGAACCTGATTCACTACATCGAGTCGTGATATACAAGAAACCAACTCAACGAGGCGGAGTTGGGAAGGAACATTTTTCCATAAGATCTTCACTTATGGGGTTTAGAAACAGATGAGTAAAAAGTCAATAATTATAAATAAATGAAAATATTTTAATAATTCATTATAATCAGTTTTGTTTATTAATTTAATAGTTACAACAGACTAATAGAAGAAAAGCCTGTGCAGAAGAAAAGCATATTAAAAGACCGATGAATTCCTTCATGTTATGGAATAAAATGTACTGAAAGAGTTTTTGTCAGAGATAGCCCCACTTACCAAACACAGAAGTCGGTAAGTTGATGGGCCAGAGGTGGAAACTCCTCTCGAAAGATGAGCGACAGCCTTTTGTACAAAAAGCTAAAGAATTGCGTGAAGTGCATAAACAGAATTATCCGAATTATCGTTACTGCGCAGCAAAGTCCAAGTCAAACAGTAGTCAGCCTACCCCGCCTGCCGAAGCTCCTTGTTCCCCATTCCAGAGTGCGAACATCAGCCTGCAATCTAATGGAGCCATGTTCCTGTGAATATCTTTCCTATAATAGAATAATAGCAGATTTGATTTATCCAACAGTTTGAATTAATAACATTTTCTTGTATTTAATATGTGTGTAATATATATGTTACTGTTTAACTTAAAAAATAAATAAATAATAAAAAATAAATGAATGAGTAAATAAATAAATACATTATAAGTAATTATAAATTTAAAAAATATATATATATACACAAGAAGCAAACCCGGGAATTCAAGCATATGAGTCAAAATCGTTATCATTCAGCCACGAGACACTCGAATGGAAGCATGTATAATTTATATATAAAATGCTAAAAAAAACTTTTTTTTTAGCATTTTATAATATTTTATAGCATTTTCACCAAAATCCCCCAAAGCCGTAGGGTCTCCTTGTTAGTTTTCCATCCAATAGACAACAAGATTATGATTATTTTTTCATATAATTTTAATTTAAAATACTAAAATACTATCTCACATTATATTGGAATTAAATTAAATTAATTTAAACTAAATAACATAGTTACATGTAAAAGCAAACATTCTTTACAATTATCTTTAATTACAGTTATAAAAAAGAATGAAATAGAAGATGTATGTGTGTTTGTGTGTGTACACAAATTCAGCTTTTAACTGTTATTTAGTTTAATCTAACTTATATTGTATATTCCTGAATAGTTAATGTACAAGTCGTTAACTAACAAGAAAAGCTACACGGATACACGTCAGAGACCTAGTCACATGACTGTGTGACGTCGAAACCAGGTCATGTGACTGGAAAAACGGGTTTGAATTCGAATGGAACAAAATTTTCACTTTTTGGAGTCAAAGTGAAAATTTTGACTCCAAACTTTAATCGACTTCCATCGACTGTGTTCCATGAACACAGTCGATGGAAAATCTATTCTGGAGGTAAGAATTTTATTTTCAACACACAACAACTTCTAATTGGAATTAATGTAACGAAATAACCTTTATCCGATTCTATATTCATAATGGAAAGATTAATTAATCTCGATTGAGACATCATATTATAATGATCATTTTTTTATAAATTTCAAAATAGAAAATGAACGTTCAGCCGAACAATTTGTCATCATTAAAGTTAAAAATATTCTAAGACTGATCTCTATATTAGGAAATGTACACGATAACAAATCCTGCTTTATTAATTAAACTTGCTTACTAATTAATCCTGAATCCTGAAGTATTATTTATGAAAAGTATGCCCTGCTCTGTAATAAATTAAATTAAATATATCGACACGTGAAAACGATTGTTATTAAAGCTATGAAGTGTTATCGCACGTGGTCTTTCTAAGAAAAGCCTATTGTTTGATCAATAACAGATTATACAAGGTAGGCCTAATAAACAATGTTATTAGATGTATTATTTCACCTTATTACCTGATGTATTAACTATCAAAACTATGACTAGTTGTCACTGGTTATAACCAGTAAATTTAAAAAATAAAAATTATAAAAATAAAAAACGTAAACATTAAGAATGTCCTCCTCCTAAAATATCTGGCAAGTGTTGACAAAGCCTTAATGCTATATTCCAAGGTTTATGTTAATCCAGTTTCCATTTAGAGTTATGTGAATATGTTCTAAGAATTTTAACAAAATGTGTTGATAACTTTTAAAATTTCCCGATCAAAATTGCGTAGCATTAAAATTATTTTTCCACCTGT